TTTGACTGGAGAGATCAGTTGTCAGTCATGTGCTTCCAGAAGTCAGGGATTTTTCACTAGAGCAGATAGTGGTAAATCAGAGTGTTTGGCTGTGGGCTAAAATTATATCTCAGTCAATGATGACTTCATAACCCTAACATGAGTAGTCTGTGCTTGTGTAATTTCTTGAGCTTTCTCTTGGTTGAATAATTTCCTCCTATCTCTTATTTTCTTTCTTAGTACATAAACACACAACTTATTCTTTATAAAAATGTCTTGTTGGACTACTGAGTGACTTCTGTTTTTGTTGACTAATGATTCCATTCCATTGAATTGGCTGTTTGTTCTCTGTCCTTTTTCTTTATTTTATTTTTTTTAGCATTTTTACCTTCTTTTGCATTTTTCGTCAGCATTTTGGGAGAATGTCCTAAGTGTGTCATCTTTATTCATCACTGAATTTTTTGTTTTTGGCACTGTTACACAGCTCTTTCTGACCTCTTAGCTCATAGATTTAGTTTTCTGTGTAAAATATCACTATGGGTTTTACTGTAGCTTCTCCTTTTACCTTTTGGTTGTTTGTGGCCGTCAAGTCAGCTACAACTCATTGCGACCTTATGTATAACATAATGAAACATTGCCTGGTCCTGCGCTGCTTTATGATCTTTGATATGTTTGAGTCCATTGTGTGGCTGTTGTGTGAATTCATCCCACTGGCGGTTTCCCATTTCTCTGACCCTCTACTTTACTAAACATGATGTCCTTTTCTAGCAGTTGATCTTTTCCTGATGATGTGTTCAAAGTAAGCAATATGAAGTTTTGCCAGCCTCGCTTCTAAGGAGTATTCGGGTTTTGTTTCTTCTAAGACTGATTTGTTTATGCTTCTGATGGTCCATGGTATATTCAATATTCTTCATCAACACTACAATTCAAATGCATCATTTCTTCTTCCATTTTCTTTGTCCAGCTTTTGCATGCAAATGAGGTGATTGAAAAGACCATGGCTTGGGTCAGGCACATCTTAGTCATCAAAGTGATATCTTTGCTTTTTAGAGCTTTGAAGAGATCTTTTGCAGCAGATTTGCCCATATAATTCACCATTTCATTTCTTGACTGCTGCTTCCGTAGGCGTTGATTGTGGATCCAATTAGAATGATGTCCTTGCCAACTTCAATTTTTTCTCCGTTTATCATGATGTTGCTTATTAGTCCAGCTGTGAGGATTTTCATTTTCTTTGTGTTGAGGTATAATCCATACTGAAGGCTGTTTTCTTTGACCTTCATCAGTAAGTGTTTCAAGTCATGTTCATTTTTGGCAAACAGGATTGTATCGTGTATATTGCAGGTTGTTAATGAGTCTTCTTCCAATTCTGATGCCACACTCTTCATAATACTCTGACTTCTCAGATTATTTGTTCAGCATACAGATTGAATAAGTATGGTGATAGAATACAACCCTGTGGCACACTTTTCCCCATTTTGAAGCAGGCAATATCTTCTTGTTCTTTTTGAACGACTGTCTCTTGATACGTGTACAGATTCCACATGAGCACAGTTAAGTATTCTGGAATTTCCATTCTTCGGATGTTATCCATAATTTATTATGATCCACACAGTCAAATACCTTTGTGTAGTTAATAAAACTCAGGTAAACATCTTTCTGGTATTTTCTGCTTTTGGCCAAGATCCATCTGACATCAGCAATGATATTCCTCATTCCACGTCCTCTTCTGAATCCAGCTTGAACTTCTGGCAGTTCCCTGTTGATGTATGGCTGCAGTCATTTTTTAATTATCTTCAGCAAAATCTTGCTAGTGTGTGACATTAATGGTATTGCTCAATAATTTCCACATTGTTTGATTGCTTTTCTTTCGAATGGGCACAAATATTGGATCTCTTCCAGTCGGTTGGCCAAGTAACTCTCTTACAAATTTCTTGACATAGATGAGTGAGTGCTTCTAGCATTGCATCCATTTTTTGAACTGTCTCAGTTGGTATTCTGTCAGTTCCTGGGACCTTGTTTTTCGACAGTGCCTTCAGTGCACCTTGAACTTACTCCCTCAGTACTAGCAGCTCTTGATCATATTCTGCCTCCTAAAATGGTTGAATGTGAATTCTTTTTGGTACAATGACTTTGTATTCCTTCCTTAGTCTTTTGATGCTTTCTGCATCATTCAGTTTTTCACCCATAGAATCCTTCAGTGTTGCAGCTTGAGGCTTGAGTTTTCAGCTCTTTCAGCTTGAGAAATGCCGATCCTGTTCTTCCCTTATGGTTTTCTAACTTTAGGTCTTTGCACGTTTCATTATAATACTTCACCTTGTCTTCTCAAGCCGCCCTTTGAAATCTTCTGTCCAACTCTTTTACTTCATCATTTCTTCCACTTGCTTTAGCTGCTCTTCATTCAAAAGCAAGTTTCAGAGTGTCTTCTGACATTCGTTTTGGTCTTTTCTTTCTTTCCTGCCTTTTTAATGACCTTTCTTTTTTTTTAAATAACATTTCATTGTGTTTTAGGTGAAACTTTACACAGTAAATTAGGTTCCCCTTTAACAATTTTTACACAGGTTGTTCTGTGACATTGGTTACAGTTTTTACAATGTGTAAGCATTCTTGCTGTTTCCATTCTGTTTGCTCTGTTTCCGTTGATCTAGCTTCCCTTCCCCTCCTTGCTGTCCTAGCTTTGCTTCTGGGTAACTGTGGACTCTTTGGCTCATGCAGTTAATTTGTTTAAGGGAGCACATTACTCACAGGTGATATTGTTTATTTTATAAGCCAATTTATTATTTGGCTGAAAGGTGACCTGCAGAAATAGCTTCAATTCCAAGTTCAAAGGGTATCTTATCTTAGGCAGTAGTCTCTCGGGGCTTCCTCTAGTCTCTGTTGGTCCAGTAGATCTGACCTTTTTTAGGAATTTGAGTTTTGTTCTATATTCTTCTCCCATTCTATCTGGGACTTTCTATTGTGTCCCTGGTCAGAACAGTTGGTAGTAGCCAGGCACTATCTAGATCTTCTGGTCTCAGGTTTTGAAGAGGTTGTGGTTCATGTGGACCATTAACTGTATTTTTATACAGATAACGTGTGCTTTCTGCGTTTGTTTGCCCTGCCACAAGTCCCGCCATGCCAATCCTCTTTCACATGTTGTTACTCTTTTGATCTTCAGTCATTAGTGGCCAGTGTGTTAAATCTGTTCTCAAGATGGTCTCTTAATTCAGATGGGTTGTATTCAAAATCATAGTTTGAGTCTCGGGGACTTGCTTTAATTTTCTTCAGCTTCAGTTGAATTTCCACATGAGCAGTTGATAGCCTGTTCTGCATTTGGCCCCTGGCTTTGTCTTGACCTATGTTATTGAGCTTCTCCATCACCTTTTTCCACAGATGTAGTCGATTTGATTCTTGTTTATCTGTCAAGGTCCAGTGTATCTTTGTTGGTTGTGTTGTTGAAAAAATGTATTTCCAGTGAATAAGTTGTTGGTTTTGCAGAAGTCTATCATGTGATCTCTGGCTTCATTTTAATCACTAAGGTTGTGTTTTCCAACTACTGATCCTTCTTCGTTTCCAATTTTCACATTCCAGTCACCAATAATTATCAGTGCATCTTGATTGCACGTTCGATCAGTTTCAGACTGCAGTAATAGAAATCTTCAGTTTCTTCACCTTTGGCATTTACGGTTGTTGTGTAAATTTGAGTAATGGTTGTACTAACTGGTCTTCCTTGTAGGTGTATGAATATTAACCTATCACTGACAGCGTTGTATTTCAGGATAGGTCTTGAAATGTTCTATTTAACGACGAATGCAACACTGTTCCTCTTCAATTTGTCATTCCCAGCATAGTAGACCATATGATTGTTGGATTCAAAATGGCCAGTACCAGTCCATTTCAGCTCACTAACACCTAGGATGTTGATCTTCAGGTGTTCCATCTCATTTTTTATGACTTCCAATTTTCTTCCATTCATATTTCGTACTTTCCAAGTTCTGAATACTAATGGTTGTTTGCAGCTGTTACTTCTCATTTTGAGTCATGCCACATCAACAAACAAAGGTCCCAAAGGCTTTACTCCATCCGCGTCGTTGAGATCAACTCCACTTTGAGGAGGCAGCTCTTCCTCAGTCCTATTTTGAGTGCCTTCCAACCTGAGGGGCTCTTCTTCCAGCACTATATCAAACAGTGCTCTGTTGTTATCCATAAGATTTTCATTGGCTAATTTTCAGAAGTAGATTGCCAGATCTTTCTTCCTGGTCTTAGTCTGGACTAAGTGTTGGCTTACCTTTTGGTATACCTACCTTTTTACTTACAGCTGTCCTTCACAAACTTCCCCAAATTATACACTTCAGTGTTCTTATTAAAAACCACCCCTGAACGTTGAAAGTGAACAAGGGCGAGAAAGCCAAAGCACAGCGGTTATTACGTGGTCTTACTTTGTCTTCCCTGTGGACTTGGAGTGACTTCGAGTATATTCAAGACCTTTCCTCAGTGGAGCACTTCTGACACATGGCCTATGAGCCACCAGTGATGTGTTTATTATTATTTTTGGTCCATTGGTGTAGATCTGGGATGAGATTCTAATGGGAAAAAAAAAAAAAAGGAATCTCTCTTCTTAAACCCTGCTGCTGTCTCAAGGGTGGAGCCTATTAACCACTGCCAAAATTTGAAGTTGAATGTAAGATGATTCCTGATTTTTTTTTTTTAAATTAAACTGACTACTGAAAATCTTGCCTTTTGACATAAATACAGTTTTTCATTTTTGAGAGAGAGAGATTTGTTTATGTGTTTCTATACAGATTTATTTTTGGTCATCAGAATGTGTAAGTTTTAATCATTAATCATTAAATGTGTTAAAATGGCTTCGGGGAAAGTTTAATGTGCTGATAAAGAGAGGCATATCATTAGCTACTAAGTCATTTAGCCACTCAAGAAATTTAAGAAACAAACTTGAAATATGTACCAAGAAAGTTTTATTATAATAGCTGGGGATTTTTTCAGTACCATTTTAAAGGAGTTTTCTTGTCATTGTTTTTGTCCAGATGACAGAAAATAATTTTTCGTTGAAAAAGATAGAAATCAGTGTTTCAGAAGCAGAAAAGCGAAGTGGAAGAAACGCCGTGAACATGCAAGAAACATACACTGCTTACCTCGTCGAAACAAGGTGGGTGGTGAGAATTCAGCCTGGGTTTAGACAGGAAGCTTTGTCTGCTGATGTAGACTCTCTTGTGTAACAGAATTGTTTACAGGTCATTGTCTTTTTAGGGGTTGCTTTTTGGGTTTTGTTTTTGTTTTTTCCTTTTTAACAGGTAAAGTGAACAAGAGTGTCTTTTGCTTTGGTACTCTTGGTATTCTAATGTATTTGTTTTGGGAGGAGAGGTGAGGTTAGTAGACTACTTTGGGGATCTGGGATGTTACTTGAGACATGCTTTGGTGGAGTTCTGGATCTTAGATACAGTCCCTGTGCAATTTTGGGAAAGGATACTAGGTTCTCAGGAGCATCCGAAGTGAATTTAGGTAGGTGGCTATGGTTATCATAGAAGTCTAGTAGAGAATAAGGTGGCTATATTTGTATAAAATAGGAATTTTAGAAAAGAGAAAGATAAGGTTCTTTTTAAAACTGGGTCATGTATGTGTGTGTGTGTGTGTGTATGTATACACAAACATGCATATATATACATATATACAGAGATTTGTAAGGTGATTTTTTTTTTTTTTAGACTACGGTCCCTTGAGAAGTTTTTTGTTTTTTAAAGTTAAATTAGCTACTTAAAAATGACACTTTAGAAATTAGTGTTAGCTCTAGCTTTCTAAGAAAACTCAAGTTTAAAAAGGATATTGTTTAGTATATACCTATTTTCATCATGCACTTGGGCAATGAAATTAGCTATTGATTACTTTTATTGTTGGAAGAAAACCTTGATTTGAATAATCTGGAATAGCTTATAATTGTTCACTCTTCACTTTGAAGTAAATAGAATATCATTCATTGCTTTCTTCCTTAGCCCTATCTGATTTGAAACTGGGAGTAAGAAGTGACCATACTTGAGTAAGATTCTGAGTAAATATTTAAGTGGATCATCAGTAAATATATGGCACACAAAAGAATTATTGAGTTGACTTCCACAATTGTATTTGATCATAAATTTGTTTTAAAACAGTGGTTCTCAAATTTTAATACAAGGAATTCCCTGGAGAATTTGTTAAACTACAGGTTTTTGTGGTAGAGTCTGGAATTTACATTTTTTAACCAAAACTCTAGGTGTTTTGATACAGATGGGCCATGGACCATAATTTGAGAAATACTGACTTTTGGGCTTGCTTATGTTATCTTTTAAAGTACGAAAGTTTTAAATTTTAAGATTGTCGAATTTATCTTGTTTTCTTTATGCTTTGTGCTTTTCCTATCTTACAAAATTCTCGCCTGTCCCATATCATATAGATATTCACTTTAAGAAATACTTTTTTTGAATAGATTATTTTATAAGTACGGTATCTTTAAGGTGATTGGGCCTTCAAGCAACTAAACCCATTGCCATCAAGTCAATTCCGATTCATAGCGACCCTATAGAACAGAGTAGAACTGCCACTTAAGGTCTCCAAGGAGTGGCTGGCGGATTCAAACTGCTGACCTTTTGTTTAGCAGCCAAGCTCTTAACTACAGTGCCACCGGGGCCCCTTTAAACAACTAGAACCCTCAGATTTCCTAATTTAATCATCTAGAATTCTTTCTCTTTCTCCTGAGTTCAAGTAGGTTTTCTGTAACAGAAGGCAAGTGGTTAGAAGTGAAGGCTTTGGAATCAAATGGATCCAAGTGCTCTACTCACAGATCTCTGTGACTGTAGGCAGAGCATATACTGCTGCTTCCTTATCTGTAAAATGGGGATAATCCCTGCTGCACAGGGTTGTTGGAAGGATGAAATATAATATAGGACAAGTGCTTCACTCAGTACCTGGTTCATAAGCGTTCAATAAGTGGAGTTATGAATTTAAAGAAAACTGTGTGTATGTGTGTGTGTTTGTATTTTTGAAAAAATAATATAAATGTTCTTCTGTTCCTTTTCAGGTCAGTTGAGCATATTGACGGGCAGAGTGTCCTCACAGACTCACTGTGGAGGCGGTATAGTGAATTTGAGCTGTTGAGAAGCTACCTTTTAGTTTACTATCCACACGTTGTTGTGCCACCACTACCGGAGAAAAGGGTAAGAAGCGCAGTGGCAGTGATGTAGAAGTGCTTAGCATTGAGACTGTTCTGAATGATTGTTTTCTTTAACTAGGCAGAATTTGTTTGGCATAAACTTTCTGCTGACAACATGGATCCGGATTTTGTGGAAAGACGACGGATTGGTTTAGAAAACTTCCTCTTGAGAGTTGCTTCACATCCCATTCTTTGTAGAGACAAAATCTTCTATTTGTTTTTAACACAGGTATTTTCCTTTTATTTAGTCTTTTTAAAAAATTCATTTGACTTGGAGTTTTATTTTTCTTCTAAGCAATAGAATGCTTATTATTTT